TCCCTACACTGTGTGCAAATAACAATATGTATTATTGCAGTGTTTCATATTTTAAAAGTCACAAACCTTTTGCGACCCAAGTCGCAAACTCCTGGGAAACGTGATGCGAGACGACCCAAAAAAACCCCTCTTGCGACCCACCCATCAGCTAACACTGGTATCAGTTACGTCAAATTAGCCTCTGAAAGGGAATCAATGCTAACATTACCATTAAAACACTTCCCAAAGACCAGTATCAGAATACATGTACAATTCCATTCCACTGAACGCCACTTTCTTTTTCACTCCATCACATGAAGCCTGTCCTTGACATGATTGTCTTCCAGGTCTGGAAGCTACATTCAGCCTTGGTACCAGTGTACCATCACCCAGTGCTGTGCGCATTGACAGCTGCAGGTTAGAGCAGTGTGGGCTGGTTGGTGCGTTTTTTTGTTTTTGTTTTTTTTTCATAGTCTCTCATGGGCTCTCAGAGAATCAGGTCTTGACTTCTGAGTCAGGCTCTCTAAGCTCTGTATCCGGCAGCTCCGTCCTTTACTTGACAAAGTGCCGTTACGTAAAGCCCCCCCTCCCAAACCCCCCACCCCCCCTGCAACAACGAGCATCCCACATGTTGAATAACAGCTGCTGGCGTTCTGCGTCTGCAGTGAGATTTGGGGATTATTTAACGTGAGCGGCCTTAAGGCAGCGGTGCCCACACTTGTTTTGTCAAATCACCAGGCGAAATATTAATTTATTCATATATATATATCTTTATAAATATATAAATATATAAATATATATAAAGATATATATATATATATCTTTATAAATATATAAATATATAAATATATAAATATATATAAAGATATATATATATATAAACTGAACATATACTTTATATCAGAGGTCCCCAACCCCCGGTCCGTGGACCACAGGGGTTTCACTGGGTCCACGGTCCAGTACAATATTTCATAATTTCTTTAATTTAAAGATGTTCAAAAACGCATGTATATATCGTTCCGTGACTGCCCCCTATCTGCTGTCCTTCTTCACAGGAAAATGAGTGCATGCGCATCAAGATCCTGGGAGACTGTTACTACTGCGTGTCTGGTCTGCCCGAGTCTCTACCCGACCACGCCAGGAACTGTGTGAAGATGGGCCTGGATATGTGTGAGGCCATCAAGTAAAATAACAGATCTCCGACTTTTTTCTCTCTCTCTCTCCCTCTCTCTATCATCCTCTCTTTCTCACAAACACAAACACAAACAAACGCCGGTCAAACAGTTTGAACAGAAGGAAAACCAGACTTGGTCTCAGCTGCGTCCTCATCCCAGAGTAAAGACGCTGTGGATGCCGTGAGCTGAACAAACAGAGGGAAGAAAATCTGCTTCAAGCCTCCGTAACAACACACACGTCAGGTTAAAGGGAAGAGGAGAAAAGGAAGTAGTCACCTGTTAGATTTAAAATTTCATTTTCTTTTCCTCACAAATAACATTTTCTTTCAAATCACATTTTCTGATGCTAATCAGGTATTTTCACTTTGTGTTATTTTTAAACCCTTCCGACGCGCTCCATCAGCTGTGAGAGTCACCTTCTGATTAGATAACATTATACTTCATCCTTTCCATAGCTTCTTGGATTGCGTTCACCAACTCGTGAAGCTCCAGCTCTCTTTTACCACCTGTTCTGCCAAGAACACCCAAGCTGTAAAGTTGGAATGAAACTCAGCCTTAGCTTTTCCCGTTAATCCGCCCTCAGTCTCTCTCTCTCTCTCTCTCTCTCTCTCTCTGCACACTGAGCCTCTGAAACAATACTTATGGATAAGACCATCATTACATTTAATTTAATTTTTTTTTTTTTTTTTAAAGATTTCTTTCCTCTGTCGTGTTCACAGAAAGGTCAGAGACGCCACCGGAGTGGACATCAACATGCGCGTCGGCGTCCATTCAGGAAACGTGCTGTGCGGCGTGATCGGCCTCCGGAAGTGGCAGTACGATGTGTGGTCACATGACGTAACGCTAGCCAATCATATGGAAGCAGGAGGCGTACCAGGGTATGATACTTACAGCACGAAAATTGGTGACACACGTAATTAAGCAGTTTCAGATAAAAACGTAGATACAATTTTCATGGGTAAACTGGACTGACAAAAAAGGGAAAAAAAAAAATCTCACATTTCATCACATGCAAAACAAAGGTTTTAAGAGCTTCTCGATGTGTGTATTTGGCTGCGATTGTTCACATACTGCACTTCATGTTGGACCAGGCTGCACACTGTGCATTTATGCCCAGATCTGTTTCACACCTTGAGGGTGTTTTTTGCTGTGTTATATTTTACTGTTTTGTTTTTTTTTTACTTTTTTTTTATTATTATTATTTGTAAATCATAGGCAAAGGACTTTTACTAACTCTAAATATTGATTTATACATAGCATATATAAATATACATAGTACTTTTGCTAACTCTAAATATTGACTTATACATAGCATATATAAATATACATATATTTTATGTATACATATATATCGACATATATACACATATACTGTGTATACGTACATGTATGGTTATAATGGTACAGTTTAAGGTCACCTGTTGTGCTTAGGTGTAAAATGGTGATCACAAAATATTTATACCACATATCTTATATATATATTTATATATTTCCTTGGTTTCTGTGGTAGAATTGTACTTTTTAGTGTTTGGTTTTTCCTTATTTTACCAATCACATCAACAGTGGATGTTTGCTGTTCATGCTCAGTAGAACAGCACTGCTGTGTAATTAACATTGGAAAGTGTTCTGGTGTGTTCTGTATGCTTCACTGAAAATAATATCTCTGGTGTCAACACATTTCTCAGTGGACTGCTGATGGTTCGTTGCCTCCTGTTCCTACGAAAATGAAGCAGACATTTGCTGCAGCTGTAAAAAAAAAAAAAAAAAAAAAGTCCTGTCTTACCACAGCGGATAACAAACAATCCCCAAAAGAGAGAACTTGAGTTGTTTGGTCAGGAAACTGAAACCTGGCTTATGTTTGATAAAGCAGTTAATTGCACAGTAGCACAAGCTGTTAGCCTTAACGTCAGTCGTTGCTAATGGCTGCTTGTCTCCAATGTAGGAGAGTTCACATCTCATCGGTGACGCTGGAGCATCTGAAGGGTTCCTACAAGGTGGAGCCCGGCGACGGACAGACCAGAGACTCTTACCTGAAGGAGCACGGAGTTATCACGTACTTAGTCATCAACCCTAAGGTGAGAAACTACTTGTTTACACACAAAAAGATACCAACAAAGAGCACACTATAGCCAGCTCAATCTTTAAGATTTTTTTTTAGCATTTTTAAGTTCCAGCAGCAAGCAGGAAGTTTCTGCATTTTTTGTTGTTTTTGTTTTAATTTTAGACTTAATTTTAAAGCAAGGTAGGCAGTTTCGCTTATTACAGTGGGATATTTCCCATGAGCTACTTGCCATGGCCATCTACCTGAGATCTAATTTTAAAAAAAAAATGCTTTCCTCCAATATTTTTCTTTTATTACTATTGTATCAGCACCGTGTTTGGGTTCATTTCTGCAAAAAACTATGAGGATAACCTTTTCAGCACCATGGACAACGCCACTTTTTAAACAAGCACTTGGTTGTGTCATATGTACATACCAAGTTTGTTTGGTATTTTGTTTACTGATGTAAAGGGGCAGCACTTAAAGAAAATAAAAACAAATAATGAATTTGGCTAAATTAAATGTAATATGATATATTATATATATATGTTATATGTTATATTATATATATAACATCATAATATATAATAATAATTATGTATATATTATAAATAATGGCTTTTAAGGAAAAGCCATTATTTATTTCCTACAGTGTTACCTTAGCCAGCGGCTCCAGGTTGAGCCCCAGCCTCTCTGGGGTTGTTTCGAAGTGTTGTACCAGGTGGTCGGCGACAGTTCCAAGAAGCCCTTAAATGGATCAGGGCCAGATACAAAGCATGAATCACAGGAGGCATCTCCGCCACTGTGTCTGTCACTGATTGTCACTGTCAGAGGCCATAAATGCAGCCGTTAGACACCAGAGTGTCTACCTCTGTTCTTGTAAGCATTTGTGTCTAAGGCTAAGTTACTTTATCCATTTGTTTTACAACACTTTAAATTTTATTATTATTATGATAGCATTCTATGCAGTGTAGTGTGTATAGCTGAAATGGTTAGCGTAGATTCAAAATGAATGGAAAGCTCCATCATCGCATGTTGAAAGTGAAAGTGATTTATTGTGACCTCTGCCACCAGGGGGCAACATCAGCAGTACAGTGCCCCTCGAAAGGTCGGTTGTAACTGTAAGATTGTGTGGATGTAACTACTCCATAACGTATTAATACATGGTTCTGGTATTGATTAATATTATCAGGTCAATCGACTTTATTAAATACTTTTTAACCTCCCGCGGGCCATAGAAAATGACTTGGCGGGCCGCATTTGGGCCCCGGCCCTTAAGTTTGACACATGTGCTTCAACCCATCACTCACAGTGAGCAGAGGGCAGCTCGAGCTGAGCAGTATGTAGGGGTGGTGGATTCGAACCTGTGACCTTCTGGACACAAGTACCGCTTCCTTAACCACCACTGCCTCAGGACGTGTGGTGTCTCATGCTATTTGTTTCGTTTTGCTACATCACCCCAGACTGACAGACAAAGCCCGCTGCTGGCTGTGCGCTCTCGACCCTCTCTGGACGGTGGGAAAATGAGGGCGTCGGTTCGAATGACCCGTTACCTGGAGTCGTGGGGAGCAGCCAAGCCCTTCGCCAACCTCCACCATCGAAACAGCATGACCACGGACAACGGCAAAATCAACACCACGGTGAGTACGAAGCGTTTCCCGCTCGT